CTCCAGAATTCACAGAAAATATAATATTTGGACCATAGTCTTTGAAAAAGAAGCTGATTAGTCAGTCACTTCATTTGGATGTGATTAAATTGATATCAGATAATAATGTAAGAAAAATCTACTTCAAGGCTGGACTATTGTAATTCTTTACTATCAGGAAGTCCACAAGCTAAAAGTTAAAAACCTGCAGCTGATCCAAAATGCTGCAGCCAGAGTTCTGATGAAAACTAAAAAGAGAGATCATATCTCTCCTATCCTGGCTTCTCTTCATTGGCTTCCTGTTAAATCCAGAATAGAATTTAAAATCCTCCTTCTCACATATAAAGCCTTAAATGGCCAAGCTCCATCTGATATCAGAGATCTGATTGTTCCTTATATTCCTAACAGAGCACTTCGCTCTCAATCTGCAGGTTTACTAGTGGTTCCTAGAATTTCTAAAAGTAGAATGGGAGGCAGATCTTTTAGTTATCAGGCTCCTCTCCTGTGGAACCAACTACCAGTTTTAGTCCGTGAGGCAGACACCCTGTCTACTTTTAAGGCTAGGCTTAAAACTTTCCTTTTTGATAAAGCTTCTAGTTAGAGTGGCTCAGGTTATCCTGATCTATCTCTATAGTTCTGCTGCTATAGGCTTAGACTGCTGGAGGACATGGGGATTCCTTTTCATCATTTTGCCTCATTTTATCTCTATTCTCCCACTCATGGAGATAAATATTAGCTGTGCTGCTGCCATCAACACCTTTGTTTCTGGATGTTGGAGCTTTGCCTGTTTTTCAGTGCAATCCTGTTTCTCTGACTATGATGGGCTGGATGTGCTCTCTTTTATCCTCTGACCTGATTGTGTGTTTCCTGGACTGGACCTTTACAGTTGCCTTTTGTATCTATGCTTCTTTTTCTATGTCTGCTTCTGTCTCCTTGAACCCCAGTGGGCCTCAGCAGATGGCCGCTCACACTGAGCCTGGTTCTGCTGGAGGTTTCTTCCTGTTCAAAGGGAGTTTTTCCTCTCCAATGTCGCTATAAGCATGCTTGGTGTAAGGGATTGCTTTCGAGCCAATGAGTCGATGCAATCAACTGGTTTTCCTTAGATAGAAAACTTTTAATCAATTTGACTGTATGATCTGGTTGAATTGGCTCTATGTAAAGGAACTGAATTGAACTGAATGTAAGAAATTAAATGTTTGGTCTGCAGGAAATACTACTGGTAAGTCACAATTAATTTAGCGACTGGAATATAATGGTGGACAGAGGGAGTTTTAGAGCGGTTTGTCAACATGCTAATCCGGCACATTAGTAAATTAAAGCCCAGTGGTAAAAGTTGTAGGTTTGTGCCTCAGATTTGTTAAGCTGTAGAAGAGAGGAGGGACTATGATAAAATTAGCATCATCACAAATTTGATACCTTCATCAGGACATGGTAAAGTTTTAAATTTAAAGGTATATCAGTGAATAAAAGTTATAAACTACAGCTGAAGAACAACAGTAAGCTGTTTAATATAGAGTTTAAGGATTTAAATCCAACAGACTATCTAAAAACATTCATGTTCAAATTTTAAAGAAAACATCATCTGCTAATAAACATCTGGTGTAGATTGGACATCAAACTCTGTGTGACACCACGCCATAGCAGATATTAGGCATTTACAATCAAAATAAGAGATTATTAAGTTTGTCAGCTTTCTCAGCCAAACAGTCCGAGTTCAAAATTCATGTTGCAACACAAAGGTTGTTGGTTAAGGCAGTCATTTGCATTATTTTAAGTTCAGCTCCAACTCATTGGCGGATGATTCTCCGTACTCCGAGGGACTCCGGAGTACGGACATCCAAACAAAAGCTCAAAGTTTAGGGCTACGTATATGTACTTGGTGACACCCAATAAACCACTCATTAGAAAGATACTGCACATGTGGAAAAAAAGTATTTGCTTAGACTTTGAGCTATAGACCTATTTGTGGCTTGGTAAATATCGTGCCATTTCTGTGGGCGGAGCATAGCTGGAGTAAGAAATATTCTTCTTAGCTCCTTAAAATGGTATCAAACAAATTCTGCTAGCTTGGTTTTGTTTTGTTTTTTTAATAAGGGCAATTTTTCTAAATATCTATGTTTATTGACTTTCCTAGACTGGGAGAGTTATTTAAAAAGCTAACTTTAGCAGACTGAACCACATCATTCGATCTATACACTCTCACTCAGTGGCTGGATAATCTGACAGTATTATATCTGGTTGAGTGCCATGACGTTTAGACTTAGCTAAGTGAAATATGTATGGTAAAAAGAAACAGAGGCCAAACCTAACTGGGACAATGCCAGAAAATTACCATCAAGCAGACTAGGGTCATTGTAAACTGAAGAAACAACTATGGTCTTGATGGTGAGTTAAGTTACATAACCAGACCTTAATCCATACCAATGAAAGACAATATTTCATTTATCATAACTTATCTGGTATGAAATGTGCAGAGCATATGCAAGCATGGTTGATGACCATCTCTTTCCCGACCCCTAATTTTATTGCGTTTAATCCAAGGTGCTTTCTTTCCTAAGGTCTGGCAGCGGCAGCAAGTATGGGATGAAGTTCCAAATTGTCTGTGCCCTGTCAACTCTGACATCCAACAACACAAGATGTCATTTTAAACTCGTTTGATAGCCACCTGCGCTCGTTTTTTCATTGGCCATCTCTAGCTGTCGGTTTTTTTTGCCTCCATCTAAAGTGCTCATTATGCTTAATGCATGGACAGTCCATGTGGGATATAAGCCACCCATCACATTTATACCCTGTGAGGGTTTCCCTCTGTTCTGAAAGGCTCTGGGGGGGTGTTTAGCACAAACAGCAAGCTGACAACCCCACACTACATGAAACAGTAGAAAACACAGCTGTTTACAACTGTATCAAAGCCTCTTCATGCCATTGAAGAGCGACAGAAATTTCTTTTCTGGAGTTTTTCCACAATGTGTTGCTAGAGGTGATATTTCTGAGCTAAATCATGTGATGTTTTTAGATGTTTACATTTGTGAGTCCCCGCGGAGGGCCATGGAAGACCAAAATTATGTAATTTGGCCATGTGGACCTCAGGAACGCATCAAGCATAAACCAAGCTTAACACAATTCTTTACGTGTGACTTCACCAGAAAAAGGGGCAACTGGAGTGTAAAGATGTAGAATATGATACGTTCAACTTTGAAATCTCAAATATTCATGAAAAATGCACTTCTGCTTACAGTCTCTTACCATAGGCCCACCTGTGTAGAAGCCTTTAGCCTGATTTATACTTCGAAGCTAGGTCGTCTCCGTATGTTTCGCAGTGAAAACAGAGACGTCCCCGCCCCCTCCGCAGACACTCTGCTTCACCTCTCCAAAATTGTAGGTGACCGCACACAGTGCTGCAGACAGGAGGCCTCTGTTTGGTCAAATTAACATCCGCTCTACTCTTTGTGTATTTCCTGTTTGGTACCTTACCAGCTCTATTTGTTTGTATGACCGCCATTATGGAAAACAACTTGTGAAGATGGACCAGCTAGAAGAGCGAGGTGCGCGAGAACGCTGGGACCCTTTTTCCACCTGGATCCCCGCTTTTTTTCGGTCTTATGTCCCTCCGTTGTCAGACAAGCTTGCCCCCACTTCCTCACCCCCTGTATCTAGACCCACAGCTAGTTCCTGATTGTCCCTCTTGCATTGTTGCGTGGAATCACATATCACAGACCCTGCTTCAAAATTGGGCATAAATCAGAAATATCTTGCGACAAGCTCACTGCCAGACACTGCTGCAGGGAGTATAAACAGCCCTCTAGGGCTCCAGACAAGGAATAAACTTTGGGATTTTTGTGCAGGCTATTGATTGTAAAACAGCTTTAAAGACTTGTTTAGATTTTTTCTCTCTGTTGATTAAAGGTGTCACAGTTGATCAGGCATTTTGAGACAGTTTCAACCAACATAACTTTGCAAAGAAACATGGACATAGTCCAGCTGAGAAAAGAGTGACAAACTTATACTTTTGTGAAATAGCAAATGTATTAATTTCTTCACCACTATCTATTTACAACACTACCAG